AACCACTCCCCAATACCATCACCTATCAAGGGAAGATATAAAAAAAAATGAACTGACTCTTTATCTGAAAATGCATTGATCTGTATTTTAGACCTCAGTCCAGACCAAAGATTGAATATTGTAAGAGGTGAGAAATGAATAGTGGGTTGTTTATCAGTCTCAGGCGGGATGTTTATGGCTTGCCAGCGTTCAAACAGGGTTTGGTTTATAGAGGCTGTTTTTATGAAGCCTGCATTAGCAGAGCATGTAATCTGACTCCTCTGCCTTTCTGATGACTAAGCCACCCAGATCATGCTGGACTCAGACCAATTGATTTCACTGTGCTCATAATTTTCTGGGAACAATGGCTGAGGTCATGTGCAGAACAGACACCATGTTTGGTTCTGAAGATTACACAGCAATATCAGGATGAATTTTTGGTTGAGAAGTGTGGTTTTCAACCTTGAATCTTCTGTTTTGAAACCACTTGCAGACGACAAAACCGAGGCTTTATAATCAACATGCTTCAACTTAGTATCCTCTTTATCTCCCAAGATATCAATATTTTAACTCTCTATCCAAACAACTGATATAACTTAGTTGTATATGAAAATCAGCCCCTGAGTCTCACCTTGTGGAGCATGGATACCACTGACAATTTAAGTCAAACATTTTCTGAAGTGGAGGTTCAAATGACAATCTACTCGGTACCACTGGCTGAGACTGTTTCTGATCACAGTGTATACAGTACACATTTATCAAAAACTTTGAAGCTCACTTTATTCTTTGAAGAAATTAGGGAATGCCATCATGACACAGAAATACCAACTAAATATTAAACCTTTATCGATGTAAATAAAGTGAAATGTGTTCCAGTCAGAAGAAGAGGCTGAACAGATGATAAGAACTGCCGTGTTAATAATGATGTTGCTACACCCATCCTTTGGCTGTGCCTTGCAGTCACGGATGATTATCTTCAACGAACTGGAAAGTGACTAAACAGGCCAACATGGTATCTGATACATCTACAGTATAGTGTATGTATCAGTAATCAGTATATGATAGTGATTACAGAGGAATCATTACGAGCACTCGCATTAAGAGTAACAGTAACAGTAAAGGAATCCAGGACTGAAGGGAACCCCCAGTATTTCACCTCCTCAATGCAGGTGTGCACTTTGGAGCCTAGATATTGCTCCTGTGCCGTTCACATGTAACTCATTAAACAATAATTTGTTCTTATAAAACTGTACAATATGATCATGCACTGCATTCCACACAACACATCAGGGAAATGCTCCTTTCTCCAGAAAAAGAGGGGATTTTGGCACTCCCTGACAATTCCTACTGTAAGGTCCATAAGCGCATCATTAATTGACCACATCTCAACTTTCATACTACTGTACACAGCACAGGCATAAATCGCCTGAATGAAAATATAAAAATCTTGAAATTAACTTTAAACATTTGTCAGACATTCTTAAACTCTCAGTGTAGTATCACTTCCAATTCCTTCTCATTTCGTGTTGAGGATTTCATAATGCTTCTGTGTTTTTTTCACTGCTCACACATTGCCGAAGGTTCTGTAGAATCTATTTTAAAAACACAGCACTGCAAAGAAGCGATATTGGGCTGTGAAAATGTATGTACCACACGTAATCTTTTTAGAAGAGCTCAACCCCGCAGTATGAGTGCCGGTGCTTTGGATATTAAACATCATAATGCACAATTTTAACAATCATTTCCACACATGATGTATTTTCCTTCTGCATGGATGGAACAGCAAAGAATTCTGCACATTGATCAGGAGTGCAAAGCGGACTGTAAAACTAAAATCAGAAACTGCTTTCATTATGAGAATGATGGATTGTGGGAGGAAAATCAGAGATTGACCTATATTTCATAAAAATACGCTTTTGCTTCCCTGTTCAGGAGAACAAACCAAAAAAACACAGAAACCCTTGCACGCTGAATTTATCTTATATGTTTCTGTGATGTTCTATTTATGTTTTTTTTTATTTTTTAATGAAGGGGGAGGGTGGATCAATTTTCACATCACTAAACCAACATAAACATTTCTAACCCTGGGCAACAGGAGGGGATCTTCCAGAAGCGTGTGTGTGTGTGTGTGTGTGCGTGCGTGCGTGCGTCTGTGTGTGTGTTTCTGCAGCAGCTCTTGCCGTATGCCGGACAGACAGGGATGGGCTCCGGCCACTGGGCCAGCATCTGTATTCCTGTCAGAGCTGGGGCTGACACGTCCTGCTCTGCAGGAGGACAGCAGGGCGGCTCGCGGCCGTGTCCCCGGGGGCTTCATCAGAGGCCCGGCCTGTCTCAGCTCATGGCACAGCCCCACCTGAAGCTCGGTGTCCCCTGCGCAAGCCGCCGCCGAGCGCCTCTCAATTATTCATGGCAGGCGGCCCTCCCTTTCTTCCCGCTCAGCTGGGGTCCTCATCAGGAGCTGCCTTCATCTTGCCACGCCGATGACAGGGAGTCATCTTAGCAAGGACTGCGTCCCAATATTATGAAAGGTTTGCCATTTCAGGAACCAAATTTGAATCATTTTAAAACCTTGCTTTGCTGTGCCAAAAAGCACCCTATCTCTGCTCTCTGCTGTGCATCTCTGCCCAGGCTATTCCTTCAAGCCTCTGAAAACCATACAAACGACCCCAGTTCAGAGGCCATCTCCAGCCGGCTTGGTGATGCTCCTATAACACACCAGTTATACCAGTATGGTATTTGCCTCATTTCATTTCACTGTGTAAGAAGTAGGTGACATAGCAGTCTTCATTAACATAACTTTGTTAGATGAAAGTGCTGTTACAGACGTGATTTTTGGTTTAATTCCACTCGAGCAGGACGTTTTGTTTGTGATTTGGTGCAGTGTCCCAGTGCCCAGAACGTCTGTGCAGCTTCACATACTTGCCTGGTTAGGTTGTGTTGTGAAGAGGCAAAACTATTGGATCTACAGTAGGTCTACATGATGTGTCTTTACAGGAGCTACAGTACAAATGAGTATCGCATTCTAAACATGTAGTGTAGTAGAATAAGGTGAAAGTAATGTACAGACAACACAGAAGGTGGTTCGCTCAACACCTATTTTGAAAATTGACAAATTAAAAATGACAAAATTAATATGGCTGAAAACATTTGATAGCCACTAGGTGCACTGTTTTATGGAGCCTTAATGTCCTTTTTCCTTGCATAACATAACAATAAATCCCATTTCGCTCCAGTCAAGATCTGGAGATAAGAATGGGCGTTCCCCATCTTCTTCATGCCCACTGGTCACCCACTGGTCAGTAGGACTGACACATACCTTGACTCAGCACCTTTCACACAAACAGGAGTGTCTGCCAGACACAATACCTTTGAAAATCAAACAAAAACATACTTAAATTAGAAAAAAACCTTCAGAAAATGGCTACAACAACAAGCCATCAGCATAGAGCAGTAACCAGGGCTTTGGACCCTGAGAATGATAAAGGATTGTATGGAAGGTTGTGGATTCTTGTGTTCATACAGCAAGGTACTTCTCTCATATTGCTACAGTATATCAAATATCTTACTGTATAAATGCACCCTCAGGTTGACGTTGCAAATAACAATTTGTTCCCAATCGTCTTAAATGTAGGGGGAATTAACAGCTTTATGTTTATTACTGAACATAAAGATAAAGAGGATTTGTGGCCTGTAAACACAGATTTCTCTCTGTTGTTTTATTAATGTATCAATGGCATTTATTGATTAACATAATAGTCACATGTTTGTTTTTTACTCCACCTTCATGTTTGCACCCTTTTTATTGGGGTTGTTCTTTTGTATTATTTGTGAAATCAGCTCGGAGAATCTTGACAAAAGCAAAGGTGTTTTCCTGCCTCCAGCAGCCACTCCCTGAAGAGCCGGCCTGCACTGTGCCAGCCTCTCAGAGGAGCAGCTGATCAGGCCACTCCAGACAGAATGTGTGCCAAGTGTGTTCCTTCAGCAGGGTCTTTAAATCCAGCACAAAAGGGGCCCCAGTTCTGTGCCCCCACACAGCCACACAGGACTCCTAACAAAACACATTCATCAGCCTGACAGACTGGCCTCACGAGCTGCTCAGCTGCAACAGCCCAGGAGCAGCAAAGCCCTCTGATCTCGCGGCCGGAATAAAATACCACTGGAACCTCATTTCAAATCATCTACCGAAGGTACCGCTCCATTCAGGCCGTGACACAATGCAAGACAACGCACTTCCAGAGTGAAACAAATAAGTACAAAAGCAATACTCAAATGAGCTAATCATGTGCTCGAGCCAGGGCCTTCCTCAGCTCCTGCATAACGGTTCGTTTCATGCCCATGTTTGCACTCCCAACACATTCAAGAAATAAGCCATCGTGTAAACACGGTCTGCTCAAGGGCCCTGACAGAAATCCCCCAAAATATTAACCTGCTGCACTTCCCCGGGACATAAACTAGAAGCATCACCCCAGCAGAGTGCCCCGTTTGGCCTTTTACACTTCGTTTTCCACGAGTCCTGTTCAGCTCCTGGTCACGGCGGGATTCAAACCCAGCGACGCAGAAAGAACTCGCTGCTACTGACATCGGCGGACAGGAATAATCAAAGCTCACACGCGTGAGATCAGAACCTCTCCCCTCCTGTACGCACACTGCCGGGTCACTGTACAGCACAGTCAAAGCCAGGATTTGAGGCGGGTGGACGGTACGGTGCTCAGAACTGAGGACTTATGCCTTGCTCCTGCACGAGCAAAAGAGCAAAAAAGAAAAACATGGCATTCCTAAACGCAGGGCATTCAGAGTTGTGACAAATTCTAGGCCTTTGTCCCAACCTCGCTGTCTGCGGAAGGTATTTATGTATGCGACGGCCACCTCCGCTTACCCTTTAACAAAGCAAAAAGCTGTACTGCTGTTATTAGCATTCACGGCAACACTGACACAAGGCACCAGAAAAAGCTCCACACTGAGAGGGGATTATTACAAAGAAAACCACTGAAAAAACAACCACCAAGGTAAAACGTACGTACCATTTCCCTCGTCTACTCCATTCTTCCTAGATGATTTCAGCACATCTGTAGGGAGAGATGCAAGGAGGTGCCTGGCTTGACCCACTGCATGCTGCTGTTACATCAGTCCGGATGATGCAGCTCATTATAGGAAAGACCACTGTTGCCGTGGAAACCGAGATGGGATACGGCTGCCATTCTGCAGCGCTATTGGTGCTCGCGGTAAGGTGGTCCCTCTGTGAGGTTCAAGGCCCCAGGTGGGAGGGGCTGGGAGCACAGAGGAAGGCGAGAGGAGAAGGGCTTTCCTGTGCCGACTGCCTTTTCAGTAACCGCTGGGCTGGGCCTACAGGGCGGTTGGCTCTTCAAAACAAAGGAGGGCAGTTTAGAGAGCAGGGAAGACAAACAGGCAAGGAAAGAGCATCCAGCGCCAGGCGTTAGATAACTTGATCTGGCAGAGCAGAAAGGACAGGAATTAGTGATTACAGCAGATTTCATTCGGAGTCCCGCCTATATATCAGATTGCATTTACTGTATATTAAATCTTAATCCTTTTCACGAATGGAGTGAGAAACCGCTGCAAATCTCAATATCGCTTAGAGCGTCTTTCTCTTGCCTGTTAAAGGCACATGCCATAAATCTGGTCTGCTGTCCTTATATTCCTGTGGTTGCTCTACAGCGTCCCCTCCGGAGCTTGGTCGATCCTACCCAGTAAAAAATGCCTACAAAACTCCAGGTTTGCATTAAGACATAACCTTGACCTGTCATGATGTCCAAGGTCTGCCACCCTCAGTGAGCTGTACCTTCATCTGTTAGCCTGGGATCCAGATTATAGCTTTGCATTGGAGTACGTCCTGCATTTCTGGCTTAATTAGGGAGGTGTCAGCTGTCCAGTCCTAACCTATTCCTACTGTGGCCGTCTTTCAGTCCCAACACAAGCGCTGCCTAACACAACCTGTACAACCTTTAAAGTCCTGGAGGGTACAGCTCAGCGTGCAGCCTAGGATCGGGGCTGTTCTCGGGGGGGGGGCTGGGGGACAGGATCTTGTCCCCTTTAAGCACCTCTCAAGTGCCCCCCCCCACTGCAGCGACGCTGTGTGCTTGGAGTGCTTGGGAAACAGGCTCCTGTGTGCTCTGGGATTCAAACACCCTTGTGTCTCCTGCTCCCATGCACCCAAGCGGCTCTTATTTCTGATCATTTCGAGACTTAATGTACTGTTGGATGAGGCTGACCCCCTAACACACATTTCCTAATACTCTCTCTGGTGGGAAAACAGCGTTTCTGTAGTGTAAATCTAACTAAGCTATGTTTTATTTACTTATTAATTAGTAAATATTTGACTGTTAATGCTATATTTTATTCACAATGTAATATTTTACAGAGTAGTTATCATAGTTCTGATTAGATTATAACGTTTCTAATGAAAACAGCCGTTATTCCAAAGAAAACATCTCACAATAAGTAAACATTCTAACAAATGATCCAGCTAACACTCAATAAAAACTTTCTGAATGAGGTGATTGTCCATTATCGATCAGCGCAGGTGGACGATGGGGTCGGAGTCCCTTCGAGCCCCACCGCTTGCTCTTGTCCAGTTCCCTGTCCTGGCTGGGAAACTGCGGAGCAGGAGCTCAGGGAACAGGGATGTCCACCGGAGCCCCTGTACACGGCGCACAATCCCTTCCTGCGCTCAGGGGTGAATTTTGGTGTCCGCAGGCCGTAGGCACTTTCACTGCGACGTGCAAAAAGAGAAGTAAACGCCAAGTTGATTACACTGCTTGACATGATGCACTTTAAACTATGCTAATACCAGACCTCCCACGTCTCCCGGAAGTTCCGGGAGTCTCCCAGGAATCAGCGTCTCCTCCTTGACTCCCGCAAGTGATCCATAATCTCCCGGAAAATCGCCCCTCCCCCCCGCGCTCCCAAATTTCTGTTGGCGACACCCCCGGTCCGAAAAATCATCAGCGAATTGTTTCATCCTATAATAAGATCTTGAGCCCAAATCTGCTGAACAAGCCGCACCTCTGGACAGCGAACGATTGCAAAGAAAGTGAGGCGATTCAACTGGACTGGTGAGTTATAGGATTTATAGTGTATTGCATACATATCACAGTATCTGTCAGCGAATTATTTAATTATTCAATCATGAAATCAATTTCTCATTGGAATGCCCGCGATGCCGAACCACGTGATTAATGGAGCGAGTCGAGCGCCCGTCACCCCGATACTTCGGCTGTTTCTGGAACAGCCGCTAGGGAGCGCATGATTATTGATCTGGAGCACCGAGAGTCGATCGCAAGCGTGTTGTTTCAGCTCGTTTTTCGTGAGGCACGAGTGTTTCCCTCCTCCGTGGGCCCTAGGCTCTGCGCCCACACTGCCTCATGGGAAACCCGGCAGTGCCAGCGCCCCGCCGTGGACGAGCCCCATTTGGCGACGTCGCGCGTCATCCTTCCTCTGAGGTCCTTCCTCGCGTCCCACAGTCCTTGTTTTGTTAGGGACACCAGTAGCCAAAGCAGGGACTGTGTCCCCTTGTCCAGTCCGGTCGGTGCCATTTTAAATTGACCAGAGCACCACTATTTGCCCGATAACGACGATGAATGCAGGGCAGCCAGACCAGCAAATAATAAACCCAATTTTCTGCAGAGAGCACTCTGGTCATGGTTTGTGAAAGGGTGAAAAGGTGACCTTTTTAATGTCGTTTCTCCCAGGTACCAGGTGACGTGGGTGGTTTACGAGACTCTTGACGAGTTACATCACTGGCAGCTGTTTGGACTGAGATGTAGCCGCAGAAGACGGGTTAGACGAGGATGGCAACACGGAAAGTGATGTCCTCTGGCTGTCGTTGCTTCGATTTACTTCGGTTCTTCTACTTTGCAAACAACGTGTATTCCTGGGGGGATTTTTAAAAAGTGCGACGAAGAATACAGCTACTGAAAAACAATCGATAGACTTGCTTTGTACCGTAAGCAACTGCAATAGGAATAATTAAAGCCAGTCTTATCCAGAGCCTTTATTAATATTATTTCGTGCATTGTGTTTTGAGCCTGTAGGCTCTTCTCGCACAAGTCCACGAGATGGCACTACGTAATCTCTTTTTTATTGTTTAAAAAGGCAACGTTTGATTTATAAAGTGGCTGTTTTCCCTTCTGTGTACACATCTAACATCATGTTTTATGATTGATCATGGTTCACTATTGACTGTATCACTGAAAGGCATGTGAGTCAGTTGGCTCAGATATTGAAATTCAGTGGAAAGAAACGAGTGCCCGGTCGCACCAGCCGCAGAACTGTTGGATAATTTATCTGTCTATAAAAAGCACATTTGTGGATGACACAATGGCGCCTCTAAGATATTTTCTCAAGCTGATAATTAAGCCTGAGATTTGTTTAAAATTTCTGTGACCGAATCAGATCATTTTGGAAAATTAATTCACTAGCTATAGAACGGCTATAAATCTACATACCAATTTCAGCCACACCACAAACGTGTACATGAGCATTTTGAGCAAATTAAGAGCAAATCTATTATTGCAATGTAGTGTAGTATATATTATCCTTCCCTATAACCCAAATGTTTTGCAACTGCATAAGTCAAATATAACAATTAAAAAAATATCGAAGCAATTGTACCTTTTTTAAAAAACAATCTTCGGCTTGGCATGCTAAATCCTCACATCATTAAACTGTTTCAGGCCTGATCTGAAAATGGGTGAGGTTGAGTAAAGCTACATCATAAGTAAAAAAGGAAGCGTAGTTTATCTTCATAACGACAAAGTGCCTGACTCCGTGTTTAATTATTCAAATAACCAAAAAAAAAAACACATTTAACGCGTACTCATGCTGTGCTAGGAGCACCGGCTGTGATTGTTGTTTCAGTTTACGCCAGTAGATGGCACGTTTACTCCAATAACTATTGCAAAAAGAGGAATATGTGCCGAAATGTTTTTGCAAGTGGATATTATTTTCTGTCTTGCTTTATATTCCTGCTCAAGTTTTCGGACGAAGGTTCAATTCGGTCGTTAATGCGCCGATCAGGAGGGCTCGTGGAAAACAGGAAGGCAGCCGATTTTAAGTAATGAAAGTGATCGCTGCTGCCTTCGCGTATGCAAGTGCAATTCTCTTGTTATCCTCGTCAGTAGATCTTCGTCTATGAGGGCGCAGGAAGTGCTGCTACCACGCACACCTGGAGGGACACACCCACACGAGTTACGCACAAAGGGCTTGCCGCACGTTTTGACTTGGCAGCGCACCATCGGAGAGCCAATCCGCCTACACCCACCGGCAAACCTGAGTGGACCCCTCGCGTGGGCCCTCTCGGTAGGTGGAGGAGATCCACGCTCAACCCGGTGAAAGTCGCGGCATGCCGGAAAGTAGACGGGAGACGGCCTCTGCACAGGCTGCCTGCACCGGCCAATCACAGCTCGTTACTATGGGTCGTAGGAGCTGGTGGAGTGTCCCTGACCGGTTTGTCAGCAGCACACGCCGAAAGTGTGCACCTTCATGAATTTGGGAGATTTTACCGGCCTGTGCTTACGCTTTTATCTCCTTGACTCACTCAAGGGAAGCTGCTTAGCTTGCCGTGGTAGATGGATTATATCAGTCCTTTTATTTTTTGGTGTTGGGCAGTAAAATGGATATTGGGTACAATGAGAGGCAATAAAAGCTCAATTGCTTTGCTGCAATTTTAATGCCTCTCGGGGTACTTGTGCATCCCTGCGAGTAACCGTAGATGAGAAATTTGGTAACTGGATCTTCGAGCTTGACGTAATTTTAAAGTGAAAGAACAAAACGTTTCATTTGCACCTGTATGCTGTTCCTGGGAACATAATCTTGCATGGTTTCACATTGCAGAAAAAAAGTATTTTTCTTCTCCATTAATGCTAAATCCTATTACCAGTCCGCAGATAATACTTTGAACCAAAACGTGTGTTGAGTGTTTTTACTTGAACACAGGCGTCTGTGCAGGCATCACTTGAAGGGTGTAACCTTATGAAAGTATTGTGCTTTTGGCATTTCAGAGGGCTGACTTGCATTCTGAGTGCATTAGTCAAGCCACTGCTGTGAAAGCAGAGATCCTCGCAGATTTCTCCATTTCCAGCAACACTTCGGACACGGTGTTGAAAAAAAATGAGATTTTATTTCAGGAAAAAAATACTGAGTAAACCAAACTCTTAAGATTACTTTCTCAAAATCATTTATTTACTATTATACATAGGAGAGGATGTTAAAATCTTAAGAGTTTGTACACCAGCTTAAATGAGGCAGATCTTATTACACAAAAGGTTTTTTCTAGCAGCTGCAGATTTGACCCAACCAAATGAATTTTACCCCCTCTTTTAGCATTTTTGTAAAGTTATGGAATAACAATGGTTCTGCAAAGCCTAAAAAAATAAACGCATTACATCTGTACTATGGTTTCTGATTCCAGCTAGAACTTGGCTTTAAATGTCAGCTGTTTTACACTACCTCAAACAAAACTTTTTTTTCCTTGAACATTTCTATATAAGCAGCATTTTACAGCAAAAAAAAAAAATCGGTACCAAATTTAAAATAAGAAAAAGCGATGACTTTTTAAGATTGTGAATTAAGTACACAATTATCTAACTCAATTTTAGTACATCATACCACATAAAGAAATCTGATTATAAGTTTTACAAGATTATACATTTACAGCCAATAGGCTTAGTTTCAGTACCCCATAGTATTTATTGCTATATTAGCAATCTTTTATATATATTTTTATATATATATTTATATATGTATTTCTGTTTCTCTAGTTAGGGTAACGTACAATTAGAACCAAAATAGTGTAACATCCTGGAAAAACCCTGATTTGGTTTGAAGACAATGCAGTTGACCCATGTGAGTACAGTAAGCTATGAAAAGACTTGACATCTTCTATGAAAAAGTGTGAAAAAATAACTTCAGTTTGTGTTCCCCGCAACCATGTTAGGAAAAACTAACTCTTTAAATTAACAAAAATGGTTTTTGTGTTTGTGTAGAAGATCAAACGTTTTGTCGCTTACAAAAGGTGAAAACATGCAAATTTAGATTAAGTAACACGGACTTTACAAAATGTTTCCTATTTGATGAAAGTGAGAAGCACTAAGACATTTAAACAAAAATAGAAATAAACAGACTGCTTCATAATGAGTGTCCAAAAGAATTGTGCTGCACAGGACAGTGGGATACACAACAGAAGAACAGAGATTCCACAGGCTCTTGTCACCAGACAGAAGGTGCAAAGATCATTTGAGAATGTTCTAACAGTGCACTTGGCATTGTCATTAACACAGGAAGTCCCATCCCAAACAGTGCAAATAGCTGGAAGGTTGGGAAACACACCACAGCTGAGCATTCTCCCGCCCACGTCGAAGTTTTTAACAAAAACCAATTGCCGAAAAAAAAAACCACACAAAGTAGCAATTACAGCCATTAAAACAGGCCGCATGTGATCATGTTCACGATTTACACACAAATATTACGATCTTTGTTTTTTTCTATATAAAAAAAAAATCTTAGTTTCTTATATAAATACTTTATCCACAACAGCCGGAGTTGTGAAGAAGGTTCCCATTGAGTTGCTTGGTGGTAGCACTGAAGTGTCATGCAGCAGCCAGATTACATTTTGCAGCCTACTGTGTTGGAAACAACACCAGCTCCAGTCATGCCCATGTTGTCCATACCGAGGCTTGAGAACTGAGTGCAAAGCCATTACTGCAGTACAAATTAGAAAGCGGTGCTATTATCAACTGTGCAGCTGAATGGTCCATTAGGGATAAAACCGAGTTGCGCGATATCAAGGTTGGCTTTCCGGAGGCTCAAAATCCTCGTGCAGCTGAAAGCTGATCCAGGTGTTCCCATTTCCTTACAAGGCCAACGGATCTGCCTGCAGCTGATGCTGGATCTGCTGGGGCTGCAGTGGTGGCGGCAGCTGCAGTGGGACGAGGGCCTCGACCATGTGCGAGGCGTTGTGCTGCGGTGGTGGGGTCCCCTCCGGGTTGGACGTTTCTACAATTTCTCCATTGTAAAAGAAGTACTGGCACTGCTGAATGAAGGACTCTATAACAGACTGGTTGAGTTTGGTGTTGGAAAGCGTGTCCTTATTTTCAAAATCGGGTCTCATTAGCGTAGGCCAAAAGCAGATGGAGAGGTTATCTGCTGTCATTAGAGTGGTTTTGCTTTGCTGGCTCACTCTGCAGGTGGGGGGAAGCAAAACAGAGCAAAGACAATGAACATCCTGGTTAAAACATTTAAATGAAAGAGTAAAATGGGAAATGATTATGCTTACAATGCAACAATAAAGATTCAATTAAGAAAATCTCAACAAGTTGGGCTTCTGAAAATCCTGACCAGAGCAATATGAAAAAGTCAGATGTCACAGATTTCATTATGTTCATTTATCAAGACGGGTAGTTGGGAGCAGTTTATTAACAGCCTGATTCCAACTGCTAGATAATTCCCTTGCTCCTTCGTTTCATGGCTCTAAGAAGTGCTATGGATCAAACACCAGCTGCTTTCTTTTAAGAATGCACTGCATGAGCTCACATCATGCTCCTCGTGAAGGCTTAAATATGATGCGTCTGATCAATATAGACTGTGTCAAACTGGTGGTCACACTGTGCAGGCTAAAAGGAGCATGTGAGCCATGTATAGGAAAAAAAAATCTGAATCACGCCCTATTATATTGCCTTAAAAAGAAAAGAAAAACAGCTGGACCTGCTCAATTATATTAATCGTGGAAAATGAGGAAAAGCATTGTCGTTTTATAGATCAAGTTCTATAAAAAACAGCCCTGGAATCATCAGCAGAACCTAGACAATAAGCGAACCAAATGGGCTGTATAGTGTGAATGGGGCTGCAGGTCTCCTGATGTCACCCAGGGGAAATGAACTCAAACCCACAGCTGCAGCTCTAATTGTATTCCTCCCCTTAAGAGAAATGGGACTGCTGACCAGCACGGCACAAACTAGGCTTTCCTGTGGCTATTTTTAGTCTTTTCCTGACTTTTTTCTATTCTGTTCTACGGTACGGTTTAAACACTCAGAAAGTATTTCCAGACAGTGCCGAGAAGTTTAGATACAAATATTGCTAAAATCTAGAAAACAAAAGATCTGTCTGTTTTCGCCACACTGACTTGTTACAAGTCTTGGGGCTCACATTTTAATACAACAAAACACGTTGTAAATAACTAAGCCTTGGAGTCTCATCCAGTAGAAACTCTGGCATTCAGAGGGCAGAATGGGTCCCGTCCACTGGAGGCTGCCCATTCACAGTAACCCTGAGCTTTGGGCAATCTGTCACATACTTTAAGTACTTCTGGACTGGGTACAATGGAGATGGATAGATAGCCTTGGCTAACTGCATAACCACAAAAAGCCTAACTGTAGGCTAGGCACTTTTCAGTGAAGGAGAGGTTTCAGCTAACAACAAAGCCTGCACTCTGGCCTGGGGCATGTGTTGTATTCATCTTGATCAAGCCCATGCATGGTGCTGCAGATGTACAGTAAGAGAAGTATAATCAAGGTTTTCAAGCTGGTTAGTATTAAAAGTAATTATATAGATGGGTGGATTTAATTTACATAATTTTTACACAGCCATCTTTTTCTTTATATGTTATGAATGCATCACACTACAAGGTACTGGGGGACACTTTGGTAAACCAGAAATGTATTCACCTGTGGTACACACACACACACGGGTATAATCTGTGCAGGAAAGCCTATGACCTTGGAAATTGCATTATTCCAGCGATGATCACGATTGCCACAGAACTTAAAATACAATAAAGTAATCTTGTGCTATATTCCTCTTGCATTCCATTTTCTGTTGTGCCTCCCTCCGACCAGATTTAGATTGGTAACATTAATGTATTCCATTTGTGAAAGAAATGAGATGTGGGGGCTGCCTGCAGTCTGAGCTGCTCTTTAAAATTAGAATGCAGAGCTCAGAGAAAATAACCAGGATTAGTGGACTAAAATATTTTGCTTGTTGCATTATAAAAATATGATTAAGAGCTGTCAACATTAACCACAGGAAAAACATTCAAATTCATCTTCTTAAGCTCAAATATTAAGTGATCTAGAAATAAGACTTAAAATCAGCATGGTGTTGTACAGTCTATGCAAAATGTTTTTAAAGCATTCTTAAAATGTATTCTCAATGTTGAATTAAACGGAGAAAACTGAGTTGGAGTGCCTTTTTTATTAAATACCTGTTTGCTTTTGTGAAAGGAGAGACAGAGGCAGGCATTCTTTTTAAAAACTAATGGAAAGAGCAAAATATATCCACAACACAGCAGCAATTAAAAATGTTTAGCTAGTTCACTTGATTCCCTTAATGAATTTTAAAAAGAACTTGGAACAAAGAGTAACCAAGAGGTTAACCTATAGCTACAGAAAAATGTAATTATTTACAGTACCAGGCACATAACAACAATGAATAACACAGAATTAGCATAGAAGTATGACTATTACATCCAGATTACTCTTTGCGGTAAGGATATCCATCAGATTACCCCACAGGATTAGGATTCTGCGACCACCCAGAGATACTTTCCAGAACTGAAATGCTGCCCCACTGGAGACAGAGTACCTAGGCAGCTCACTCCTCGCCACACATCACTACCGCTTTCCTCAAACATCTGCAAGTATAGAGGCTCAGAAGCACTTCCGCCCTCTGCAGATACAAAGCCCTCCAGGAAAAGACAGGCTCTAATCAATATCTATTGATCCTATTCCACTTATTCATATATGTCAGGAGAATCAATTTATGCTTATAACAGAATTTATTTTTGTATCAGTATAAACATGAGATTTTTTTATTTTTGTTAGACCCAGGAGCATTTTTATTGTCATGTACTTCACTTTAAACTGGTTAGGATTTCAAACAATTTAAATTACGTTTTCAGAAGAAATTTACTTACAGTTGACTCGCAATTTACGCAAGGGTTAGGGATCCCTAACCTTTTAAGATAATTCAAGGCATTAAATACAAGTATAAACACAGTGAATAAAAAAAAGATGACTATACAGGTTACTAACTAGCTCTTTTAGGAGTGCTTGACAATTTGTATCTTGTTATCAGGATGCACAAATGTAATATGTCAGGTATTTTCCGCTTCATTTCCTAAACATTCCAGGATTGGAAATGCTCGAATGTCAGAAATTACACTCACAAATTCTAAAATCCTGAAAGCCTCAAACAAATAAGTAATATTATTACATAAGAAATGTACAGAAATGTTACAAAACATTCTATATATAGAAAGAAAACACGTTTATTTCCCATACCTGTTAAGGTGAGTTATGACATACTTAAACACTTCATAGTTCACAGATGGGAATTTCTTCACAATATCCTTTAAGACTCTGAGCCTCTCTGTACGGTCAACTATTTCTGTACAAAGAGAAAACATAACAGATTGGTGTTTTGTTCATTCATTACAAAAGTAAAACTTTAAAGAACACAAGAAAGATTACAAACAAGAGGAGAACATTAAGCCCACATAGCTTGTTCAAGTAGTTACGTGATCTGAGGATATCACCCAGCCATTTCCTACAAAAGAAAATCAAGAAATTGGCTTGATTAGCCAGCAGCCATATCACCCTGCAGCTCAGAACTGGCTAGGCAGGTGTGAGCCTGATCAGTACCTGCATTGGAGACCTCCAGGGAGAAACTAAGGTTGCTGCTGAAGTGGTGTTAGTGGGGCCAGTAGAGGGTGCTCACTCTGTGGACTGTGCGGGTCCTAATGCCCCACTATAGTGACGGGGACACACTACTGTAAAATAGATTCCGTCTCTTGGATGAGACTTAAAACCGAAGTCCTGACTCTCTGTAGTCATTAAAAATCCCAGGGCGTTTCTCGAAAAGAGTGGGGGTGTCATCCCGGCATCCTGGCCAAATTTCCCATTGGCCATTACAAATCATGGCCTCCTAATAATCCGCACCTATGAATTGGCTTCAACACTGTTCTCCTCCCCACTCAGAGCTGATGTGAGGTGAGCATACTGCCCACATTATGGCTGCCATTGCATCATGGATGCTGCACATTGGTGGTGGTGGAGGGGAATCCTTATTACCTGTAAAGTGCTTTAAGTAGAGTGTCCAGAAAAGCACTATATAAGTGTAAGAAATTATTATTAATTATTGATTGACATGACAACATGTCAATCAATAATTAATAATTAATGCAGCATAGTGTGTTCAATACTCCTACAACCTTTTGTGTAATAAAGTGCTTCCCGTTCCTCAGTTTTAAATGTACTTCCTTATAGCTTCCCCTTAACTTCTCTGGTTATCTTTATCTTTCTGAATTTTCCTTGCAGCTTGTAAAATCTTTCCTATTAATCTAAATATTTAAAATATCAAAACAATAGTTTATCTACACCAGAATGTATATGGCAAACAATAACCCATGTTAACAATCCAACAGAATTTTACTGTTGTGGTCAGACCTGCTACCATATAGGTGATCCTTTGTTTTCCATTACATCACCTAGCATGTAATGGAAGAAAGACTTAAAATTGGTCTGATCTTTTCACAACTTTTATTGAAAGGCGCTACCATCAGCAATTTCCTATTTGGTAATACCAGTCTTAAGTGACTGTTTGAAAATGTTTCGTTAACAGTCTGTGATTAACAACTCATTTCCTTAAGTACAGTCAGTGGAATACCATCTGCCTTTGGAGGATACTAAATCGTACAGTTTTTTTAAAGTACATCTGCCTATTCTGTGCCAATACTATTTTATACAGAAGTTAGTCTCCGCTGAGCGTGATGCAGGTTGGCAATTCCTCCTTTAACACACAGGTTTTCTAAGCAAACACCAAAATAGTCTGCAAGTGTCCTCAAACCGGCTGCTCATCCAGATCTTTATCATCACACAACTGTTCTAATCAGACAAGTGTGAAGACAGAGGATAGAGCTCACACCTGCCAGCCTCTGTCTGACATGAAAGCATGCAAGACGAAAATTCAGTGACTGAAGGAAGACTATTAACACAGAACATGTATGCACCATAATGGATTGAATGACACAAATTCATATGTGCACTAAAGGATACTTTAAAGCACTTATTCCAGAAAGATCAAGAGTATCCCAAAGATCAAGATTCTTGACCCCAAAAAAGAAAAATGTAAAAAAAAAAGAACATGAGGAATACACGAAGAAAGTAAATTCAGAGAGAAACAGAGCACAGGTGCCCTAATCTCTAGTTATGTCACAATTCTATTATTGTATTTCAAACGTTTATACTGAATATTTTTGTAACTGCAAGGGAGAAAACATTCGATGAAGCGTCACATTTTGTGGGTCTGATTTTCAAGTGGCTCTTTTTTCCCTGTGATTTTTCTCATGTGACTTTCTCATTCGTAGGATGTACAGATTCCTCAACCAGCCTAGTTAGTATTCTTTGGAGTCTTCTGCTTGCAGCTTTGAACTTGTAAAATGCTCCTTATGAACAGGTATTAGAAAACCACTGTTGATCTGTCATGTTACATGATTAATTGATGTATACAAGGGTATTTCTTGAAAACATCTGTAAACTGCTACCACTGAGTTACAGCCAGGGCTTTTGTTGTATTTAGAAGTCTGAAATTAACAGAAATACATTACAGACTATTAAATATATTCAACATTAAATCCTGTTCTGCATTTAACTGAATAACTACTTAAAGTGTAGTGCCATGGATAATACATTTCCTGTAGGTTGAGACAGACAGCTTTTAATTATAAAATGATTTACCAGCTTTGTCTACAGTTATTTTCTTGAGGTTATGGACACATTTCTTCATAAGGATACATCTGCAATGTACTTATGCAGAAAATTATTAAACTGTCTAATGTCAGGATTCTATTTTCATCTAAATTCCTAACACATCTCTAATCAATATTTAGGTCAAAACATTATTATTCATCAACTGAGTATTAAAGGAAAAATCACTATGCATTCATAAATTCTGTTTTTAGGAAAATGGATATTGATTAAATGGTTTTAGGTTCAATTTGATTAATTGATCATTCTTGATTGACTATGATACTCCTAAGTGTCTTTGACTGTTAAATAAATACTACATTATCTCATTAGTGATTTAGTGCTTAGCAACAGGGAAAGTTGATTGAGAACAGCTGAAGAGGTCATTTAACCTGTAGAATGTTGTTTAAAAGACAGAAAAACACAGAAAAGAAACACCATGTCATATGCAAGTTCTCAATAAAACAACATCTTAGTGCAGTTGGCACTGCCATCCCAGCTGGACAATTCCTGGACAAAAATGTCCTCGTACTACTTGTCTGACAGTGATTTTCTTGTGACATGAAAATGCAGTGGTTGTCAGCCATAAGACCCACTGAGCATTTGTGGGAGGAGCTGGGATGAAGTGTGGCATCTAGGGCTCAGAGACCGGTGAACAGGCACGTGACTATGGCTCTATGTGAAGAATGACACAACGTCTCACTAGACAGTGTCACTAGACCTGTCGCACAGCATGTATCACAGATGTACAGCCTATATTGCTTCCATACATGATTTTGCCTGTGACTTTCACAGCAGACGTCCTGTTGATCAACATAAGAATTTACTTCTACCATGTCCGCTCAAATAAATGTCAATAAAATGTCACTATTTCACTAGAAAAAAGATTGTCATATTCATGATCATTTACAAAGTTATTTGTTGCAGTGGTACATTTCCTCTGATTTTCCATACATGTATATAAAACCTCCTGTGAAAATTGGAAAAGAAAATCCTGAAAGTAAATGATTTGGGCAACAGGAGAATACAGGTACATGAGGGCACATCAGCCCATAAATTAATGAGCATTTAGAAATACTTCTCATCTCAGCAAGCTAGTTCAGTTCATGTTCAGTATATACTGTACGTATTGCGTTTCTTGAAATCAGTAAGGGAATTTCACTAAAAAAACAGACTTCTGTGGGTATGTGCAAGTTCAGTGATATTTCTCATGAGGTTTACATCCATATATTTTATTTCATTTTTTTTTTTTAGTTTTTCTTCTCCCAGGAAACCTTTTTATTGACATTAATGCAATAAACCTTCCCTCACTCAAATACAAAGGTCTACAGATTTGATTCACATTCATTCCATAGGGTGTTTCCTGACTAGACAGGCAGAAGCAGCTTTTGGCTACGGTATCAAAATCTACAGTGCAGCTATTCAGATGACCTGCCTGTCAATGTTTAAGCAAAACCACCAGAAAAGGAAAGAACAAAACCTTTGGATAAGTACGAGATGCATCTAACAGAGATCAACAGATAGGACTATTGAATTCTCATTTTCCTCTCCTCTCAGCTTGCACTGCTCACCCCTGCCAGCACTGACAATATCTTGTCACTGCTGAAGAGAGACAGAGAGAAAGCACAGAAGCAACAATTCTGCATTGTGCAAGCAGACCTGCCACCATCTGCCTGTTTAAGCTCCTTCAGAAATGCAGCATGTTTCTACTTACTGGCTGCTTCCACCAGCTCTGGGTGAAGATTGTAAGGAATAAGAGGATCAGGCAGGTCAGCAAAGAAAGCTTTGAGAGCCCCCGCAACAGCATTTACTGCCACATCCATTGCCATCAAGTCCACACTGTGGTCTGCAAGACAAAACAAAACCCTCTGAGCAGCAAGCCTGAGGTAAAGTGACAGCTGTCATTATACATAGAGCTACTATGAAAAACCACAACTGTACATCCAGGGATAAAAATATCTATTTTTCCCCACAATGTCCAATACATTATATAAAGGGGAAAACCACACAGTCAGGAAAATGAGAAGAAAAAAAACACAAAAAGAAGGGAAAATGGTTCCAAGCCAGTAGGCAGATATGTGCTGATAGTCATTCTTTCAGGCAAACCATCCCCGCTCAAGTGTAAGATTCAGCCACCCAGTAAAAACATCCTCTGTGGATTCTAACTCAACCTGAGTGGGTTTGGAAACATAAAAACCAAAGATAAAGGGCTAATATGAACAAATTTAAAACAAAATTCATGCCTCCTAAGATGTACAATTCTTTTATCAGACTCGGTCCAGTTTCAGAAATGATTTCTGTTTTGGATTAAGCTTCCTACAAGTTAAACTGAAAGAATGCACTCCCTAGGGAAGACCATGGTGAGGGGTTACGAAAGACACCTGAATTCTTTTAGAGGTTACTTTGGCAAACAATCACAGAACATAATTTTTATTTTTAATCATACTTTCATGAGACAGTAGAACTGAAAAACAAAAAAAATAAGGAAAAATACAAGACAATGATCAGTACCTTGGTCAAACTGCTTCTGAATATTATCTTGATCCGTCTTGTTTCCACTCACACGATACAAACCTTCAGTAGACAACCCTAAACAAGGAATAAAAAAAAATGTATAAAACACATTGTCTAATCTTTTGTACAGTTAGTGAATGAATATCTTTATTATCTTGATGGGGCACAGAAAAGATCAATGTGTGTTTTATTGAACAGAAGATATTTAGGGGTTTTCAAAAACTGACACTAACAAGAAACCACTGAGATAAGAATAAAAGACAGATCAATAAATAACATGCTTGTTGATTTTCTGCCTCGATCACATTGATTTAGGTGAACATTTTAGAGGGAATGAAACGGTGTCCTCAGCACTAGACCTTCGAAAAATGAGGTTTGGAGCGTGATGAGCTCAGATGAAGAGTCACAGCAGCGCGGTACACTTTTACACCAATATCTTAATTCCCTCTCAAACCCAACACGCACAACCCCACTGTGCACACTGTGCCTCCGAGATCACAGTGTCCTCCCTGCAGTGGTGCACAGTGGCAGATAATCGCCAGTTTCGCAGGGCAGAACTGCTTTGCAATTTATTGCAGTAACAGGCTGCACTGATACGGCGAGGGCTAAATCTCCCCTTAGAAAGAAGGATATTAGTGTCAAGTGGCGAGAACTGATGTGAGGGTATGAGGAGCCCCATGAGGAGCTACTTACAAATGAACCCGTTTTCACTGACATGATACACTCCGCAGAGAACTGACCTTACAGAAATGAAAATGAGCCGCCAGACACTTTTTAATTGATCCTGTGCAGCAAGGTCTAATGGTCTTATTTCAAGTATTGTGGGTTTTCTTTTACAAATGTTAATATGGACTAAGACATCCTTCACATTGATACCCATTCTAGAATTAACTTTACTTATGTTTTAAGAAAACACCATTTGAATCACTTGTAAAAAATAGGACGGGCTGTGTCCTGTAAGGACCGATTACCAATTTTACCAATTCAATGCCAGAGCAGCAACTCCTCTAGGTATGGGTTCTGAACAGGGGAAGCTACTGATCTTACAGTACAACGTTATTTTCTAAAACCCAGATAAGTACACATTTAAAAATTATTCTGCAAAGCTTTTCAAATCATATTTTCTCAGGATTTCACCACAGAAGGTTCAGCTCGTTCCAACAATGTATCTGTAAAAATCCAATAAAGCAGAGGTTTCAAAAACGGTATTTGAATAATATACAGATGTCTCTGAATAGAATAACAATTCCTAAAAATGACTCGAGCTCCAAAAATGATGACAAATTTGTTGTGGAAAACATAAATCAGGAATTCCCTAAAAAATCACACAGAGATGTTTATTTCCAGATTTGATTTAGTATCGTTTATGATGTTGGCACTGGATTTTGCAGTTATTTTTATGGCTCCATACTGTATCAAACAGCCTCTTCCGAGAGAATGCCCACTGTTGGCTGTATTCACAGAGAAATTTGAAGTGACATAATGTGTTCATTGTGATGTTGCTGTACCCTCAGGCAACGCACCCAACATCCAATCTTGCATCAAAACAGCTAAAGCCACTCACAGCACTAAGAAGCAAAGATAAGGCATGATCCTAGAGACACACCTGTGCTTGTACGAGTTCTATCGCCTCTTTTGCAGGAGTACAGTACAGAACCTGCAGCATCAGTTACTTCACATTCTTAAGATACTTTAACATGTAGAAGCTTGAAAGCACCTCATATACAGGAAAGCAAGAGAAAAGGTATTCTCAGTGAAACCACCCAAGAGTTAATCAAAGAGAAGGGCCCAGGCAGTAACTACAGTAAAAGCACGTGTTGTTCCACACTAAACATACAGAGCTTTACAGCAAAGAGATAAATTTGTCAATGCAAATGGATGCAATGACTTACCAGCTTGGCAAGATCTAACTTTCTTTTAAAGTTATCCGTGTTTTGTCACAACTGTGGACATGAAAAGAGGTGGGTTCACGTACACGGGGAAAAATATTTTTGCAAGGGTGGAAGTGACAGGTCAGGAAGGTCATAAGCCAAGATTGTCCAAAATAGTGTGTCTGTATTATATGACAGAAGTTTTCAATTCAAGACAGCATTTGTACTTATATCATGTGACCCAGTTCCATCCTGCATGTCGGATCATTTCATTTTGCAGACACTGTAGGTGTTAGCAAAACAGTCTTTTCCAGCAGCACTGTACTATACTTAAAAATGATTCATAAAAGCTGTTATGGCTAATCCACAGGAAACCCAGAATATAGAGGATAACTGCAGCTTTCAGCCTAACAAATTAAGAAACCTTGTTTTAGTCTCCACTGTACTTCTGCAACCCTGTAAAGCACACCGTAAATGCAAAGAGAACCTAAATCTGCTGTCTAAATCACACTGTTGAGAAGCAATGCTATTGGAAAGCTGCAAAAATAAATTCCTATTGCTGTCCAAGTCACTTTTGAAGCAGTCTGAATAGATGTTAATGCCAAGTCATGTGTTATTTGCATTCCTGTAACTTTATTTACGCCTGTTGTTTTGCTTAAAAATCAGATTTAAAAAAAAAAATGTGCAGCATGTTTTTTAGTCTTATCGGGCCTTGCTGTCTGGAGAGCGGGTTCTTCCAATTATCAGCCTACTGCTAGCCTCTGGCTTCATTAAAATGTCAATTAGCTGTCAGACGTCATTCCCTTTCTATCACATCGGCTCCCTTCGCAGAGCAGCAAATACAAAACTACAAAACAGAATGGCCCAAGCCACTGGTTAGTTACCGCACTCCTTCGACTGGATCTGCCACATCAGAACGGCTGCATTCCTGATTTTTTTCCCCATTCTTTCATATTGTTTATATAATTACAAGCGGAAGAATAAAAAAAACATTCACTTCTATGTTTTTTTACTGCTGAAAGTTGTTTTTTTTGCTTTCTACAACTGAGGCTGTTTGGGATGAGTGGCTTGTAAAGCAAATACACACTGGAAGCTAAGACTGAAGGAAAGAGAAAGAACAGGATTCGATCTGAATTTACTTGCCCCTATACTGGATGTTCTATTGTGAAAGCAAGCCCATCCGCCCCTCCAGCAATTCCTTCACTCATTTTAATTTAATAGAATTGAGAATGACATTAGCTCTTAAGTAATAGCTCACTGTCATACTAGCTCTTTCCCCCAATTTAAACTTAATTCAATTCTTATCAATGGGACAAGGCGAGATCTGCTGGATATGTTTGCACATTTGCAGCATATTTAGCACTTTAATAGCACAGCTCTTTTTTCAGCTTAACAAGAAAGTTTTTATCTTTTCTGTGAGTTTTTTAAATACTGTCATTTCAAAGTGTGTTAGATATAATAAACCAAAACCACCTAATTCGTGAAAATGGCGTCAACAGTGCTGGATTCATGTAATAGTGAGTTGTTACTTTTAAATGTGAGCATGTTTGTTAAGTGTCCAATTAATCTGGACAGACTTCATCCAGTTACAAGACCAGAGGACTTGAGAAAGCTGGAGTATGTTTTAATTCCCAACCCTGACTTCCAAACAAATATATTTTATTTTAATTATGGATTCATATGTGCAGTTATTCAAGTCTTGAAATGTTACCTGTAAATACAACACACAACAAACTACTAAAAACATTCCTTGCTTAAAATATTATTCTTTTATTTTAGGAAATTATACTGAACAGAAGGTACACAACCAAATACTTCAGAGGCTGCAAGATATTGGCATTTTATGCAAAAAAATAAGATAATTCATACAAGAACTTCAGGCACTTACAATATGTTGGAACACTGCCTAAATGGAAAATCTAAAATACCAGCAATCACATCCTCTGGAAAACAGAACAGACCATGTTATTTATACTCAAAAGATACTGCAGCAAGCAGAATTGTTATCTAAATTCAGCCTCCAGATACATTTTACAATTTGGCATGGTAACAAGTGGATTATTATTAATGGAATAATTCAACAGTTGTAATTTACAGAGTCCATACTCTTCAAAGGGCTGCTTAACTCGGGAGCTCTGTCCTTTACTCTGTTTTTTTGCTATTGAAATACCCGCCATGCTGGAATATGAGATTTGTTACTTAAGGTAAATTTATTAAAAGCCAGGAACATACACTTAATAGACATTTTAACTCATCTCACTGTAGATGGCATTAAAAACACATCAGTGACTAAGTCCCAGACGTACAGAGCAACTCTGCCACCTCATTAAGCTCGCATGCTGTTGTTACATTATTATTAATGAAAATCATCCAAATCCTGCTTTCTCAACGGAAAGTGGTAACTGGCATTTATAAACTGCATTTTACGTATGCTAAACCAAAGGCCTTTTTCCTGCAGCAACGTGAGCCCAAAGGTTATTGATATCTTGCTGAATCATGGTCGAAGATGTTGAAGCCTCGACAAACACCGATCGCACTTATTGAGGCTGTGATGAACAGAGACGTACATGAACAGGTTCTTGGCTCTCCCTCTCCTAGAAGAGGTGTAAACAGTACCACAACGCAATAAGGACACTACTGGATGGAGTAAATGAAAAATTATGATGAGCCAAGTCATCATTTTCAACGGCTGCACATTCATCAGTTCACCGTCTCTTGTCTGTGCAACCCCATAAATCAAACAGTCTAGAAAATGTGGCTTGAAAACTGTCAAGATTTTGAACCCCTATTCACACTTCTTTTTTTATAATATCAATGTTTCTCGCTAACATTAATAGGGAAATCCATGTTAAGAAATTTCACCTGCCAATAAATCTCAGCCAAAATTGATCCATGCACTTTACCGGTGAATGCCGAAATGTTAAGAAAGGTCATAAATTAGTAATATCCTTTTTTTTTTAAAAATCCAATTGCTAGAACTTATTTGATTTACCTTTTACTGAATTAATGTGAACAAATACTCAAAGCACTCCTGAAGTTGTGCCAAGTTCCTGTTTGCTGCTGGTGCTCACAGTACACCACATTATCATGTGTGCAGAGTCCAGATTTGGGGGAAACATGCGGTTATGCCTGAGCACTCTCGGCAGTATTAGGGAGGCTCTGTCTGTCACAGTTAGCCTTATCTACGGGCTGCAGAGAAGGCTG